AGTATTAAATTTATAAAACATGCTGCCCCACTTCGTTAAGCTTCTTATTAACACATATTATAGAGCTTTTCATGGGGCGTCGAATGATGTATTGCGCTAGGCTTAATATAGGATGGTTACTGAGAAATGTTGATTTTACAGTCATACTGTGGGTACTAAATCATCGCTCCTTTTCGAGTGGATTCTGTCGGGTATATTCTACTGAAAGCGCTCGGAAGGGTTGAAATCATCGAATATCATAATTGGATGTGATTCTGATGAGGTTTGGACCGATTGGAGCGGTTATTGTTAGTGGGCCGATTTCCGTTCTTATGCGGACTTCACCTTTAGAAAACATTCTGTTTGATCGACACGATTTTTACGAGTATATTAATGACTGTTATCATTCATCGAAAATTTGGAAGGAAACCATAGAGAATTTTACGAAAGAAATCGAATCATCCTCTATCAACATTAGATGATATAATCAAAGGAAAGTATTAGCTCAATTCTCAGAGACAGTTGTATGTCAGAACAGTTTTCTTATACTTCATTTAAATAATAACTGATTAAGAATAGTAGAGTGATAGACACCGATTTAAGCATTATTTATTGGATACGTTTCGTGAAACACTTTTCACATCATCAGTCAAAATGTACAATAACAGAACGCAAAAAGTATACTGTCACACGTTGTTTTATATCCAGTACAAATAGTTTAAACTAGTTTTGCTTCTTGTACATTTTGACTAATGATGTGAAAAGTGTTTCGCGAAACGTCTCCAATAAATAATGCTTAAATTGGTGTCTCTAACTATTCATCATATTATCTAAAAACGAAACGATTCAATAACTGACTAACCCACTTACCAGTGTCTAGCATTCTGCAGTCTTTCTACTACATACTAACATTTCTCAACTCTCTTCTTCGTTTTTGTTTATTATCTGTAGCGTACTGTTGTGCCTTTCGCGACTTTCTTTCGTTTATTAAACATAAGTGTCACAGAATTCATTAACCGTTTCTAGCATATCCATATTTTATTTGGAACGTCACCTGACGCTTCTGAATTTTTTGTTGTCCTAAATATCCGTGATTACACCACCAGAGAAAATTTTATAATACTGAAGAGAACGGTAATTCCACCTGCCACAGCTTACTCAGAAAATACGTTTCCCAAGTCGGCTCAGAAAGCAAAAAATGGTAAAAATATCTTTCTTTCTTTAAATATTATCCCCGATGTTCAAACTTCAAAACAAATAGTGCGTTATGTAGAGAATTCAATTCTCTATCCGGCAGCCTAGTTGTTAGATTTTTAGAACGAAATAAGTAGATCAGAAAATTGAAATTAAAAGCCTCAAAAAATTAAATTAAAATTTTTAAAATTTAAAATCAAAGTTTCGTTAATAATAAAGTTGATATTCGTGATTAGCAGAAAAAACTGCGTCTGATGATGTATATTTAAGGCTGATTCGAGAAAAAAATAATTCCTTCAATCATCTGATTCAAAGGTTATCGTTAGCTGACCAAGCTGAAGTTCTTATCCAATTATAATTAATTCGATCAATTTTAATTAATTGTAATTGATGCATACTTTCAAAGGTTGTTTAATAGCGGTTCTGCTGATGGAAAAAAATTAGTTTCATTTCTTTATAAGAAAAACTAGATAAATTTACAAGAGAGGCATGTACTATTTTCAATTCATTGCGCTCTATCCACCCATTTATGAATTGACCAAGAAAATGTTTTTACTGAAAGTACGAATTTCCGGCACCTTACTGTAAAATCAAACATAAAACACAGAAAAATTAAATGCTTTCAAAAAAGAGTAGAGAAGAACTATCCAAATAAATGAAAACAGTTTCATCTATTTCGCATCTATTTTACGTGAAAGAAGAAAAATTGAAACATTTAGTGTCATGCACGAATGGGACAAACGCCAAATTGTTCCTGCAATTTTAAATATTCTTCGTATGTTGGATAATCTGTATAACCTTCTTTGCCTCCACCATAAAACTTTTTTATATCTAAATTTGTATTAATACAATTTTTGTTAATTAATCGTTGTGCCAAATCTGGATTACCAATATATAGTCGACCGAAAACAACCGCATCCGCCTGACCATCTTGCAAAACTTGTGCACCTTCTTTGCCATCATAATTTGTATTAACGAAAAATTTGGTATGCTCCGAATTAATAAATTTTTTGAATTGAAAAATATCGATGTTTTTGCCAGGAGTAACCGAATCAAGATGTTCCCAATGCCGTGTTAATTGTATATAGGCAATTTTTCGTTTATTCAATTCTTTCACCAAATATGAAAAGGTTTCAATACTGTCTTCTTCTGACATACCCATATCATTATAGCCACCACTAGGACCCAATTTAATACCAACACGATCATTCCCATATACTTTAATGCATTCATCTATAATACGAAGAGTGAATCGACAACGATTTTCGACTGAACCACCCCAACTGTCTTGACGATGATTCGATGTATTATCTAGAAATTGATGAGGTAAATAACCGTTCGCATTATGCAATTCAACACCATCAAAACCACATTGTTTTGCTTGTTCAGCTGCACGTCGATACAGATCAATGTAATACTCGGGATCATCAATTTCTTTTGGTTGTACATGGCCGGGATGTCCTTCCAATTGACGAAATTTACCACCTTTAGCTGCGATTGATGATGGGCCCACATTGGGTTCACCATGTTGAAGGAGAGGATGAGCTACACGCCCAACATGCCACAACTGGAGGAAGATGAGACCATTATGAGCATGCACGGAATCGACAATGGCTTTCCAACCTTTCATTTGTTCGTCATTGTAGATACCTGGTGCATTAGACCATTCTGTGCCTTGTGGGCTGACTAATGTACCCTCCGTGAGAATTAAACCAGCACCCGCTCGTTGTGTATAATACTCAACTTGTAATTGTGCAGGAATGATATTACGATCACGTGTTAATGATGACATTATAACACGATTTTTCAAAACTAATGGGCCTAAACGTAATGGAGTTGAATAGGTAGTGATCGACATTCTAAAACACGGCAAATACGAATTTCAGACTGAAATAACGTAGAAAATTGCATCAAGTAATGTTTTTTTGTACCTGGATAAACCTTGTCTTTCTCTTTTCTTTCTCTTTAATCTAACATATACAAAATGCGATGAACCATTATATTTGTAATATATTACCGAAATGCTGTAGATGAGATGAAAGTATTTCGATAACTTTTTTCGTTTCACTCTAAATATGACACGTTATTATTAAAGGTTTGTTACTTGCTTTGGTCTGTCGTACATATTTCGTTACCGATAGGCGATTATCGCTTATACAAACATTTTCTTTTGTTGTCTAATACATATAGTCGTTTATTCTTAGCTAGTAGAAGAAAAAGAGAAAGAAAATAAGTGTCATCAATAAACTTTTCAAACCACATAATAGTAGAACAGTAACAAACTGACTATTCATCAACTAGAGAGTTTCAGACACAGACATGCTGTTTAGCACATACAAACATGCAAAAGAATAAAATTCTCATCAAACAAATTAGTGACTTTTACCCATAAGGAAATCTGTTCAAAACGTGTCTCAAATCAAACAGTTCACTTAAGGTTTTTCATTCGAGAATTTCTACAAAACTTCGCCACATCCATTTTTCTCGATAAAATAATTCCATTCAAGGTACTATTTATATGAGCGAATCGTAATTTTTTTGTACAATTGGGAAAAAAACGAAAGTGTATCTAGAAAAAATCTGAAACGTACATCTTATTCCCCTTCGTTTGCTGAGCCTATGGTAAAAATTTCCCAAATACCGGACTCATTTTGGCTGAGATATCCGAGAAACAACTTGCGTTCTTTGAGGCAGAAAACTTTTTACCAGACTCTACTCTAAAATACGCGTGTAAGTACATGTATGACACACCAACAGATAGATCTCAGCACGGAGAATCCAACTGAACTATTAACAATCGATTGCGCGAAAAGCTCAAAAAACGCGTTTTTCTTCCAAGAACACTTTCGCTTTGGTTATATGCCTAAAAATGCTGAAAAACTTTTGAATTTTGTGCAGTTACACCTCTTTGAAAGCTTGGGCTCATCTTATACAAATGTAAACTACAGACCACAATTTGTGCCGCCTAGCTAAACATATTTCGATTGAAATTCGTTTTATCTCCAGCATTTCACGTTTATTTGTAACTTCATTCTGCAGTATAATCTGAAATTTCACAAAAAAACAGAAATATACAAAGATGAAATTTCAGTCATTCCTAGAAGATCTTGTAAGCTATTTACAGTAAAAGTCTGAGTGGAACCAGACGAGTCCTGCCAGAGTTATAGAGGAAACAATTTCGAAAAGGACAAGTGGCGGTAAGGTCATTTTTTCGCCCAAAACATTTAGGGAAAAAAACTATATGGTTAGAATCAGCATTAAATTCTGAACAAAACGGTATATTGTTTTAAAATAAAATTATAAGGTATAGATAATATAAAAAAAACAAAAAACACGCCACTTGTCCTTTGTAAGTTCAAAGTGCGTGGAAAAATTATTTTCACATTTTTTGCCATTCGAAAGTAACTAGATGAAAACTATAAACAATTTTCTAAACCGTTTTTTTATGCTCTAGCTTCTGGTCATTTTATTTTTTCTGAAAAATGTTTCTTTAAGTCGCGAGAACCGTTTCTGATTTGTAGCTTCATTTGTACGCAAAAGTGTTTTGTGCATGTACGAGAAGGAAAAAGTAAACAAAACCAGAAGCAAATCCTATGGTTGGATAGAGAATCGCAGGCTCTACCAAACGTGCTACTTTTTTCTCATTTTTCTTTCTTTCTTTCCTTAAAAAATAATTCATTTTCTGTGGATGAGTCATCGAAAAAACGGGTATTTTGGCTTTTGACCCACGCATCTCAGGGAGTTGATGAAATATTGTTGCGAAATTTTCTGTAGTAGTGAGCCAAATGTAAGTAAGAGAATAAAAAAATTTTTAGAAATCAGTTCGAAAATAAGTGTAAAAATGCGCAAAAAATGTAACTGTACAGAAAAGTTACGATTCGCTCATATATTATGCAATCAATTCTTCTTTCTAAAATAAGCACGCGTAATCATTCGAAGACATTCCTACTGTTGTTTATACAGCCATAAAAAGAAACTGGCATTTCCAGGCATGTCTAGCTCCAGTAACGACAAAAAATTCATTATTACATAATATATGACTAGCAATCAAGACTTGTTTTTTTCTTCCACATTCGGGAGGGTTGGGTGTCTTAAGAGAGCTCCATGAAGATGGTAAAGAAAACGTGTTTGAAGCAGGATAAGCCATCTTAATTTCTGATAGATGTAATACTCCATTGAAAGACTAAGCAAAGTAAAGTGCAACTTTATTGGTTCTCTATCGAAGACTTACTTCACTTTATTCTTTCTGTCATCAGATTTGAATATACCCTAGTGAAAGTACTCATACGATGAGTACGACTTTTACTCATAATTCGTCCATGAGTACTCATATTAGTACTACTAACAATTTTTGACTATTGTTACTTATGTGAGTACTCAGAAAATATTCATTCACCGTTTTATTTTGCTAAACTGAACCTGTACGTAGAATTTAGTGAAGAAACCATAGACTATTGATATTAATATTTCCTCACTGGTCTCTCTGTAGATAGGAAGAGATGGACTCGTCTATAACTAGACTTGTAGTCCTACTCTGGCTGCCTGAGGTCACTTCCCTATATGAAAATATCAGATGAACAATACTCATAAGTATTCTGTCAAAAGTTATATGAGTATTCAACAATATCCAAGCGTGAGTAATCAAAGCCGTACCCACAATACTCGTTACTCACTCATGAGTACTCGGGACATTTTTCAGCAGAGTACGACTTTGAGTACTCACACTTGAGTACATTCACTAGGGTAGTCACATCATAATTTCAGCATATAAATCTATCTGCTAGAGAAAATATAAAAAAAAAAATGCGATCCTCTATAAAAAAAAGTTCGGAAAAAATTTTGAGGTCAGTTTCCCAGAGGATCTTTGGAAAATTAGTTCGGTTCTCTGAAAACTTACATAAAGCGCTGCTAATTCAAAAGTTCAGCACATTTTTTTTCTGAAACACACACACATCACCAGATAGATCTAGTGATGCTAATCATAAATATGACTCTTTTTTAATTTTGATAAAGTCTTCGGGTAGAAAATGGCAAAATACGGGACGAGTGCAAAATCCCTAAAAAAATTTTTTCGCTTTCAAAAAATACCGTTGATTTTTTTCTCTCGCACCACTTCCTCCCAACGTTGTGTTTTTCGAATTCCTTATATAAAAATCAATCTTGGAATGTTGTATGAAGCCTTATCACTTATTACATGTCCAAACTGAAAAATCAGGGTCTATAGTAACGCCGATTAAATCACTAATTTTGGTAACTCTGTCTAGTTTTTTGTTTTAAGTGATGGAGCCTTCATTCATACGATATTCGAATCTTCAATTCAAAAACTTAATGATTCACTTTTTTTAAAATTTTGTATAGTGGCTAAGATTCATTTTTCCTAAATAAGAGGCGAAAAAGTCGGAATTCTCAGTTTTCTCCGATCTAAAGTTCTATGGAATGAAAATATCATATTTGGAATCAGACAATTCGGTCTCATAGCCCGAACGGAATATATATCTCTTTCATGATATAAAAGTATATCCTGGTCCGGCTATGATATCCTGTTCAGGCTGGAATATATATATCCTCTTCCGGATATAGTCTGATCAGGATATATTTTTATATCTCGAATGGGATATGGTATACTGGAGGCACATCAAGACAGGGTGCTTTTTATTTTTGGATGTGCGAATGTGAGTTCATCTTTGGAGAAAACTAGTTTTATTCATAACAAGACTACAGAGCATTTTCACTTGTGAAAATCCTACATTGAAATAATCATAGCCAAGAAGTTAAGCAGCGATATTGACTATATCAGAGATCAGCACGGGCCGAGCTCGAAAATTTTCGTCGAGTGATCGCCAGGCTAAATTTGATTCCGACTCAATTTTTCATCCGCTTCACTTTTCTGCAATAACGTCACGATTTATGATTTTTTCTAAAATGTTTTGCAAAAATATCGCGATCGGAATATAAATTCTCTGCGATATCCCGTTCCGGATATAGGGTATATTCCGAATGGGATATCTATCCCGATCGGGATACTGCTCGTGAGACCGAACTGCCAGTATTATTTCAGAATGTAAGCTTTGGAGTAGTATTGACAAAATAACTTAAGCTTCCATAATAGCAAATGTTGGTCTAGTATATGATGCTAAGTTACTTAATCTTTGAAGGTTGTGCTAACAGTCGGGGCTCATTCAACAAGAACTACTTCTTTTCAATATATCCATTCATGATAATAGCACTTTTGGTCAGTGATTTTCTCATGATCACGTAGATTATGTTATACCAAATTATCGGAGGGTGTATGTACATAAAAACTAAGACCACAAAATATTTATCTTGGCTGTTTATCATCAATTAATATACAATCTAAAACTGAAATTATTAGTACAATGAAACAACTAACTGAACTCTAAATTCATTAATACCATAAAAATAATAACGTACTTCCTTTCGTACAACATATTAAAATAAAAAGATAAAATCTAACCTAGCTCACATCAGAATGAAGATAGGGATAATAATAAACGAATGTAAAGAATGGATGAAATATAAAAAATTAGCAAGTAGGTGATTAACGTAATAATGAAATATTTTTTATACTTGTCATTCAGAAACTCTTCAAGTACCATGCCTTGTCCACGATAAACAGTTAGTGTTGACTTTCTATCATTGGACTTTGATAGCAGTGTGATAAGTTCGTCGTGAAGATGTTTAATGAAGAAGCGAAACTACCACAACAAATCAAATATTCATGAATTTATTAAATCATCGCAGATACAAATTTAAGGTTGTCCGTGGAGTGTAGATTGAAAGCAGATTTCCTTTCAGAGTTATGAAGCACTTTATTGGACCAAGGACAACCAGCTAATGGTGGCAAAAAATATTCAACTGTTATTGCACCATTGTTCAAATATCCGTGCCGTCAACATTTGAAAAGGATGCAGCCGATCGAGGATGAAGAATACGTTGGCAGCTATCAAAAATTACTTATGATGTCAGCTCGTGCTCTAATCTGAGATCGAATAATTATTTCATTAGTCGGAGCGGTACCAGGTCATTTCGTTTCAAGACAATTCGTCTTGGACAAATCGCCCGAAAATTTCATCTGACGGACTCTGCGTCTATGACACTTTGTCTCATAGACAACTCATTTTCAGACACTTCGTCTCGAACAATTTGTGACTACACAATTCGTTTCGGATAATTTGTTCCATAGAGAATTTGTCTTCTTAATAAAAGCGAACTAATCGTCTTTTATGGACCGAGCGTTGAAGACAGTGCTAATCGAATTGAAATAAGTATACAAATAACTTTACCTTTTAAGTATTAGAAAACACGAAAAAAACGATGAATTTTTTGATTTTTATTCATCCACAAGTTTCGATTTGCGTTCCTTGATTTCGTACACTTTTTCAGGTTATAATAGTGTTCTATTAACCATCAGAGTTTGGGCTATTTACCGACCGATAAAGGTCTGATCAGCCAAAGTGGCATCCACCATGGACAAGTCCGGTATTGTTTGTTAGGATGAAGGACAACACACTATGTGTGTGCATTGATCATGCATTTCATTTCATTGAATAACCAATACCTAATATTTACGAAAGCTATTCAGAGCGCAAAATCTCAGAACGCGAATTCGCGCCGCCCGTACTCAAAAGATCAAGAAAATTTTATCAAGAAAATTAATGAATAAAATTTCAGGCAAAACTCAAATTTTAGTTTTACCTAGTCATAACTCCAATTGGAGTTTTGCCTACAACATATGCATCCCTTTCATTTACTCGTCTTCATCATAACGTAGGAATATATGAGTTGTTGTTTATACAGTTACTATAGTCTACAGCATGTGTCAGTATCTTATTTCATTATTTAATTTCTGAGTGAGTCTGAAAACTAAGTATTCTATTTCTTAATCGACACTCATTCCTTAGTTTACGATCGTCTTTTCTGCATGTGCGTTCGGATAAAGAACGGTGTGGTAGGGGTTAGTAGTAGTCGTAGTTTGTTGTAGGGCTGCTACTTTATATTTATATTTACTTTATATAAGTGTATAACGTAAATACTTTTATTTATACATACAAAATAAATATAAATATTCCGACACACTACTAAACATAAAACCAATTACTTAGTACGATATGTTGTTCATAGCATCATTAGTTAATATAAAATCAGTTTTTACTCTTTTTTCAAAGACATTATGGGATGATTTTAATGTATTTGTTTTTGAGTCTGGTGAATTTATATTTATTTTGTATATATAAATAAAAGTATTTACTTTATATAAGTATATAAAGTAAATAAAGTAAATACAAATTTAAAGTAGCAAGCAGTCCTAATGTTTGGAAGCAGCCGAAAATTCCGACATAAATACTTTTATTTATAGTTATTTTTTGTAAATATAAATAAAAGTATTTATAGAATGTTGTAAAGTGAATAGAAATCAGCACCCCTAATTTGTTGATCTTCAGTTTGGTGTGCCGATCTCTGTGTTTCAAAAATTTCTTCAAATACTCTAGTATTATCTTCATCATAACAGTTAAACCATATTTCATCGAATAAATAACGGCTTGCTACTGTTGATGAATCATCATCATCACCATTGACATTATATGATGGTATTGGTCGATCTAAAATATCCTTCCATAGTCGTGCAATTATATGGACATCATTTTTAAATGCACCAGAACCAATTGGACCAAGTAATAAAACGGTATTTGAACCATCACCTTCTGTATTCAATTGTGCAGCAGCAATAACTGATGTAAGTTTTTCACGTGTATTCTCATCCACATCTTTCTGATGATCGGGCTCTGTGAACGAATGGAACAGCACAGTAAATATTTCGTAGTCAAGAATTTCAAGACTTACTTCGATATATCCCATGTTCATTTGTTAAATCGTAGCATGCAGCAACAACTACGTCTGCTTTACGTGCTTGATATGGATAGAATGAACCGGGTAAAACAAATGTAACATTTTTTACGTAGAAGACACCAAACTCAGGTATAATATAACTAGAATCCAATTTTTTATATTTTATATCCATTAGGGCACGATAACAATCAGAATTAAATAATATTGTTTCCTCTTGTGTCGTCCAACCTTCTAAATAACCACCTCTGAAAAAAGTGAAATATACACGAGCCTGTTTAGAACGTCAACGGACGTTTGAGCGACCGACATTTGAGCGAACAGGACCCCGACTCTTCCACGAATTTTTCGTAGTACACATTTGGGTATTTTTGGTAGCGTTTCGTGGGAGGTGGGGATGTGGGCAGTATGAGAATGAGTTCGAAAAGTAGTTTCACACAAAACATGTAATCATCGTGCGAAACTGTATATCTGTAACTGTATCACATAGTGCCCACATAACTTCACTTAGATATCATGTCGATCGCTCAAATGTTAGTGTCGGTCGCTCAAGTGTCGGCGTTCAAATGCCGGTCGCTCAAAGGTTTAGAAACTGCTTCAGTTTTTATCAACCTCACACTGTCGTCGTCTTACCCAGGCATACGTTCATCACCATAATCTAAGACAATCACCTGCTTTCCTACTTTCACTTGGTGTACCAACTGCTGCACACCTGCGTGCAATTTTCCAACAATACAAATCTTGCCTTGATTTTGTCTCTTATTGATTGGAAATTGTTCAATATATCGTTTTGCCTCTTTATCTTGATCTTGAATTTCTTCTTCCATTGTAGACGGAGAACTAATATAATTAATTTGCTCATAATTCCAATAAATTTTTAAATCATTCAAACCAAAGCCACGTGATCGATATTCTTCAATGTAACAACGTGAATTAAAAGTATTTTCATTAGCCTCTGCTGTCAATTCCCAATATTTTTTATAGGGTTTATTACCCTCTCGAGACTGTTGATAACCTTCCGTCATTTGAGAATATTTATCATAGTCTCTGTCCACACTAAAACAATTTAAAAGGACAAAATACAATACACAAACGAAAACGACAACTTTTTCTTCTTTGATTAACTATTTTACCGTTCCTTCCAATCATCATCTTCCATCTGCTGTCGTTCTTGTTCAAAATCTATTTTTCGTGCATAACATTCATCAACTAATTCTATTATCCCTAAATCCTCTGAATTCTTAATCATTTTTAAAAATTTTAACATTATACGACGGCTGTTGTGATGATCAACACGTGTTGACGAATCTGGATCAGTAGATGCAAATGCAATGTTAACAATACTACAAATGTCTTTCTTACGTACAATGTTAAGCGGAAACGGCAATGATACAGATGATACTAAAAATGAAGGACTAAGTATGACAAAAAATGTTTTACATTTATTTTGAATCCCGTGACAATACTTAGTTTTCATACTCACCCATATTAATATAATGGTTGTGGTTTCAGAAGTGTTTTGAGTATAAATGCTAGTTATTTCTGATTAAACAATGAAATAAGAAACTGATACATGCTGTAGACTATAGTAACTGTATAAAAACAGCTTACATATTCATACGTTATGACGACAGGCGATTAAATGGAAGGGATGCATACACTGTATTTCTAGTTACGCTTCATATATTTTTTCAACGCAGAATACACTTAAAAAGAAAGGAGAAAAATAGAAAGAAAATAAATTAAACATGTGATACACTAACTATACAACACATAGTAGTGTGTGACTAAAAGGTTGCAATTAGCACTAGAAACCCGCATCCAGCGATATGTTTTCTGAGTTAATCGGGCGAGACTGTTTTGGCTGCTTTTCACCCAAAAGTTACATCTTAGGCTCCGAATATGTATCTTGATAACTTCAAAATTGATTTTTTAGACAGCTCAAAAATGTAAAAAGGTCTAGTCTCTGGCTCGACAAACCTGGTTACTCGGTATATTTGTCACCAAGCTCTTTACATGTTGCTAAGGTTCTGAAACAAAATTTTACAGAATTGTTTACTCTATGGGATGCGACACTTAGCTACTGGAATATCTTTAAGTTGATTCAGACAATTTACTTAGTTTTACTTTAAAAAGTTGAGAATTGTTCAAAAATTCAATTTCGACTCTGGAACTCAAAAAATAACTATTTTGTTCGGTCTCAGTCGCTGTTCAACTAAAGTATTTATCGAATCGGACTAGACGTGACGTCAGAAAATGAAAAACGCTGAAAATATCAATTTTTTGAAAGATCTCCTCTTAAAACTTCTATAACTTTATTGATACAGGATCAAGAAGGATAAAATCTTTTCCACTAATACCGTTTGATCAGTAGTATCGGGCGAGAGCATGATATGTAAATTTAACCTTTTTTGTGATGACTATTTACCAGCAACGCTTGATCTACTCGCGAATATTCTCTTCGCATGTAAGAATTCAATAAGAATCTCAAAAGAGTCTTATATGAGTTATATCGGATTTTTAGAAATTCCTTATTAGATTCCTATCAGATTCTTTTGTAAGGATCAATCACTACCCATGAGTATTTTTTTAGCATAAAAATTCAGTGGATCGCGGTGAGTTTTTCAACCGCGAGAAACTTGGCGTTACGGGTGAAAATTCTTCATATTTTTGATTGCAATAATTAATACATACAGCAGACAAATAGAAAAACATTTCAGCCTTCAACTTCTTTGTTTTGAAGAGTTAGAAAATTTCTAATTTTGGCTGGCTTCACCTGGGAAAACTGAGTAAACTAGCCATAACTTTTGAAGGAAGGGCCATGAGGATGAACCATTCTAGACCTTTGATTACCTTACTATGGTCTTACATGATCTTCGTTAGCTAAAACTTTGTTTTGTGTGTGTGTGTGTTAAGTGATTATTGTATTGTATTTTTGTGAATAAGCAGAGTGAAGTGGTGTCATTAGTTAGGTGAATTTTAATTCTTCGTTCTGTTACATGTATAAACATCTAGTTATCGTCATTTATCAATTAAAAACACAATTATAGTATTTTGGTCAAACTAAAAAGTATATAAATCAATAAAAGTAAAACTCATACATGTACAGATATTGTAAATTTAAACTATAGTTGAAAACAAAGTTTTACAAGTTCCATCACAAAGTTTTTTGCCGGCACTTATAATATCAGAATGAATCTGCAATATTCATAAGAAATTCTATGATGGGCACGGAGAAATCTTCTAACTTAAAAATCTGAACTTGTAACACCTATAATTCACTTCCAAAGTCTGAAATTTTTTTCGTAATCGCATTTTCGTGTTAGTACAGGGTATTACAAAACCATTACGGATTTATGAGTGTAATTAATAGGCCGTACAGCAATTATTGGTTATGGAATTATTGAAATATCTTGAACTATATGCTAAAATACGCTTGTGTTTTACGATTTTTATTCTTCATGTACAAAGTTTCATAAAAATAATAGCATATTCGGGATCTCCATCAAAAACTGAATCTATAGACATGTCATTTGTATATTTTTGATAAAAAAGAATTTTTCGAAAATAAATCATGACATGTCTACAGATTCAGTTTACTGATGGTATTACTAATTTTTTGTTGAAAGCTACCATAAACATGAATCTGGAATGAGTACCACTGTGAATAATCGGCTGTATGCCTTTCTCTGTTCGGATGTAACAGAAGAATTATTTTGCTGTAAGATAAATCAGCGCCGCGTTTTGACAGAATCATACAAATTTTCCTATATGCCTCAAAACTGCGGTTAGAAATTGATGAATTTGGGCAAAATTGAAAAAATAATCCTTCTCTAACGGTGCAGTTATTTTGGGCCACACCACAATATCCTTCCTTTATGGGGTCACAAACGTTAAAAAAATGATCAAAATTAAGGTATAAAATTTGTTTGGCTATATATTTTGCCGGGAAATGAAAAAGCATTTTGAAAAAAACTTTGCTAAAAATGCTGCAAAACGGTGTATGATGGAAACAACCTTTTGGTACAATAATTGTGCGCAATGACCGACTGTACAGGTGCACAGTGGGCATTTTTTGCTAGAGCAAGCGGACTTTAGCTTTATGAGTGAACTAAAATTTCATGAACCATCTTTTTATAGGTTTTTCATGATCCTCTTTCTAATGGCATGAGAGTTGGGTTTTAA